TAAATTTTGGAATTCCAAAATATCAAAGTTATGTTTTTCATTTTGAAATAGAAGTTGTAACTGTTGGGAATAAAAAATAATGTCATTAACGAGAGTGAATATTATCATGTCAATGTCTAGGACTACAATTATTTTGAAAATAATGACTCCAAAATGTTAGTAAACAACGTCATTCTATTCACATTTATATAAATTTCCGTGTGGTACGTGTATTTCAATTCTTTCAATGAGAAAATTATATCTCTTCAAAGATAACTATTACGTATTTTTTATTCGGTGTCTCCGTAGTACTGTTTTTTATATTCAGAACAAGTCATCATCGCAATTTCATTTGTTTAATGTCTACATTATACTCCGTACTACGTAATAATTAAACTTCTAGTAAACGCTAAACAATGAATTTAAAACTGAACCTCATATTTGAGAAAATATCTTAAATATGATTAAAACATAGACATATGATCATCATCATTATCTTATTTTTCCCTTATTTTATTATAAGATCAGACTCGTTCATTTATGATTAAGGAAGTTTATATTTTTAATTCTATTCAGAACAATTACTGGATATTTTTATACTACGAGGAAAGTGAAGGCCTTGTGGGAAAGAGAGGAGGTAGGGGAGGGGGGCAATCGGGCCCGACCCACTCCAAATATGATTTTTTTGTAATTTTAACTTATAAATTTATGTGTAAAATTTTATCTAAAAAAAATACTTCGTATTTTGTACCAGCTCACTCCAACCTCCGATCCTGACAACGCCGCCCATTCTTGCAGCCTTGGTTGTCTTGGGCATTAGGACCTTAGGAGATGAGAGGTTTAGGTGCCATTTTAAATCTTTGCGAAATGCATGCAATATTGCAATTATATAACTTTGAAAATCAGGTTTCCAATCCGGAAAGTTTTCATAGAGTATTTGACAAGTATCCGTAACATTGAAACATCAATTTCCCATCACATAATGTCACTCTTAGTCTTAAGAACATGGCTCAAATACGTATAGTAGAATAAATTTACTGATAAAATATAACCCATTGAGTAAAATCAAATCGTATGCCAAAAGCAAGTGACTACCTTGAATAAAACGACTCAAAAGATGTAACTTCATCCATAAATTAATGCACGGATTTGAATTGATTTAGACGATTCTTTCGTGTGAATCGTGTGATGCACCCCAAAATCATTGGTGACGATGACACCCCAAACTAAAATTTGATGATATACATTTGTACACACAAAAAGTTCCATATAAATTTATTCGTAAGGTGTGTTTGAAAAAAAATATGAATAAAATGCTACAAAAGTCATGACAAATATAGCATGATGTTCAATATTGCGAAAAGTTAAACATAACCTAACTCTAAAAACCTGTACAAAGGGTCATTGTATATTGAGATTAAAGTCATATATGGAGTATTAGTTACTAGTATTACTTTTTCCCATTAGACTTTTGTTAAATTTTTTTATTATTCCAAAAACTTTATCACATCCAATTAAAGAATTAATTTGTGATTCTAATCATTTTTCTTTATTTTTTGCACAAACTTCACCCACTCAGTTTTTAATTTTCTTATTTCTCACTTAATTTTAAGTTGGCAGTCCACGGGGATAGAAGTCGAGTTGTAGATATACTTCGTACGTAATTACTTTTGAAAATGAACACCACAATTTGTTCACTAAAGTCAGCAATTACCGTTAACGGGTAATAAAAACAAAAATATTATACATGTTGATTACAGACTTACAGTGCGTGAGATAAATTTAGATAACTTTATAAGTAGTTAACGTTTCGTATACTATATATAAAAAAGGTTAACGTTTCGTATAACAATATTGCAATTGGTTATCCACATTGTCATTTTCATTTTCATTCTTTAATAAAATAATCGTTTTCATATTGATTCCTCAATAATCTATTAAGATCTATTTATATAATTTTTATCTGTATGAAAAGTTTATTTTAGAGAATCTCAATGAAACGTTAGCTACATTTGCTTCATATAAAGTTCCTTTAAATATTGGAATGATATTCTCAAAGGGTAAAAAATGGAAAGGAACTTTAGTAAAAAGAAATTGAGATAATGGAAACTAATAATCCAACCTTTTAGTGGTCTTCTTACAATAATCCAACCTTTTGGTTATTCATGAATAATCCAACCTTTGCACCTCATCTTCATTCACTGGTCCTTGACCGGTTGATGACCTGCTATTCCAAGCTATTTTCTTATCTTTGCAAATCATTATACCATAAATCTCATCTTTCACAAAGATAATATTTTGCAAAGATAAGAAAATAACTTGGAATAGTAGGTCATTAACCGACCAGGGACCAATGAATGAAGATGAGGTGCAAAGGTTGGATTATTCATGAATAATCAAAAGGTGGGATTATTGAAAGAAGACGCTAAAAGGTTGGATTATTAGTTTCCATTTCCCCAAAGAAATTAATATGTAGTAACTTTTAAGCTGTTGCATTGGGTGCCAGCGGCCAAGGGTGAGGTGAAACTTTTATTACATGACATAATATGCATTATGCATGTAAAAATGATTAAAATTTGACCGATTAGACTTTATAAACTTTGGTTAATGATTTTAGTTAGGGTTCTTTAGTTAATATAGTATATTTATGAGAAATTTATAACATATATGGAGTTTAGCGGTAAACAGATAACATATTATGTTTGCGCGTTGTCCATAGCCGATTCATGGGTTCGAGTAACTGTATAGGCTGACAGATTGTTAGAAGATGTTTGGTAATTAAGGTCTTAATCATCACAATTAGAATAAAACGTCATATTTCAAAACTCTAACTTAAAATTCTCCTATTTGTAACGTTTCACTTATTACCGCACGGCGTTTTCACTTATTGAAATCGTTAAACCGATGCTATCTTTCAAATACTCCAATATACCCAAGTTTATTTATGAGAAAAAGCTAATACTCCCTCCGTCCCGAATTTTAAGATATTTTACGATTTACAATGTTTGACCGACGATAAAGCAAACATATCCATGTCCGCACTCCAATTATTTTTTGGGAAAAAAATTACATATTCAAAAACTACATTAAATGCTTTCCAAAGTCGCAAAAATCAGAATCAAATTTGATATACGAGTATAAAATACGGAGTAAGAGATTAAAAATGATTTACGTTTACCAAGTGAATAGGAAATATATCTTACAACATGGGAGAGATGCATTATCTATTATCATTAGTCAAACGTAGATACGGACTATAAGCTTTGGAAGTAAATGAGGAATGGCAAAAAGAAAAACCTGTTTCCCAAAAGGGAATGCAAATGGAGGATGAGATCTTGTTCATGAGGTGAAAAAGCGCCGCGTTTAAGGTCGGGCCTGAGGTAGTTGATCCACCGTAGGCGGCAGCTCTTCCCGCACCTCTGGAGCCCGGCGTTCCGGGCAATGTCGCTCCAACAACCTTGCCCGTTCCTCACCATGTACATCATCAGCCTCTCATCTTCCTCCGGCGACCATAACCCTTTCCTCAGTTTAACCGCCGAGCCCGCCCCCGCCTTCTGCTTACCCTTCCCCGACTTATCTTTCGCCATTGTCGACGCCCCCGGGGGATCCGGCTTCCTCATCATTACTTATTATGTACAAGCTAACTAGTATATATGTGAATGTCAGTATGTGCTAAATGTATATTTGGGCTTGTAAATTTTTATTAAAGTATAATCATCAGTCCTTGATGCCCGACCAAGGAGATGATCAGAGACGTCGGTATTGGATTGATGGTGAGAAAATATGTGCATGAGAGACAAAGATGGAGTGGTAGAATAATTATAGATATAGTAGAGCTAGCTATAAGGTAGGAAGGGAGAGGAGGAAGTGATGATGATGATGATGTGAAGTGGAAGCAAGATATGTTGCAATTCTCGTACACATAGATCAGATAGGGATGATTACCTTGTGAGTGAAGAAAAGCCAAGCCAAGGGATCGCAGCAGCTGATGGATCGAGTATTTGCAAATTAAAGGAAACAGACTGCTTCGTCTCATTGCATGCTCATCATCACCCATTATTGAGTCAAACACAAGAAGAAGACCAACCCACCCTCTTTCTTTAATTTGTTTAAATATGATTGGTTTTGTTCTTAGACATTCTATGACTGAAAACAAAACAAAAAATCTCATTTATATTGTAATGTTGAATGACGAAAAAATAGTTATTGAAAATATGTGCCTATTGCACTACTTTCGTCCAATCAATAACGTTATACTTTATACTGCCGTTATTGCACGACATTACCGCATATATCCGGTAGTAATCGGTGCACTTTCCACCAACATTAGTTCTCTTCCCATCCACGTTAAAAAATTATACAAAGTACATAGTTCTTTTTATTTATTTTTAGATTTAATAACGCTAGTATATTACGTCCAATTAAATATATTGCATTTCTTGGCGTCATTACTATTCTACATTATTGCACTACTAGTCATAATCACTACACTTCGCGCAATTGTTTTAAAACTATTTGGTTGTGCTTCATTTGAATTAAGGCATGTAAAATATGGCCAATAAGGACTTGTCCTGCACCGAGACATTTGGGCGGCGGGTCTGTCCCGCCCCGTCTTACAAAAGGGTCAGGTTCACTTGCCCGCCCACATAAATGACATAATGGGGCGGGTATGGGTCTTAGTATTGACCTATACTGTGTCGCCCCGACTCCATCCACTCCGTTCAAATTATAAGTATACATGACTTTTTTAATTGGAGTATATTACAATTATACATGTTCGTACATATGTGTGTATAATAAATAATACATTCTTTGGTGATGCGGTTTATGTTCGGTATTGGCCAAAGAAAATATGTTGTTGTTTCTCATTAATAATTTACAAAGTATTTATACACGAGATGGCCGAAACACAAGCCCTTGGCCCAAGAAAGAATAAACAGGACTGTTGAGTTTAATCCAACACGATATAGTAAATATATGTATGAACACTCAGTTTTTACGTGGAAACCTGAAAGGGAGAAAACCACGAGACTTTTTAGGCTAATGTCCAAGCCCTCTCTTTCTCATTAGAACTCTCCTCACCATTACATAGTACATTTTGAGCTCCCATTAATGGAGTCTTCAAGCTATTCTAGAGAGAAGAAATGAGTTGGGGAAGAAGAGAAAAGGGGATCCCTAAACATGTGGGAAAGCCCCATATTTATAGGGGTAAGGGAAAGGGGGAAACCTAACCTAATGGGCCAAGTAAGCCCAAAATGGGCCCAAAGGGCCGAAACATGCCTAATAGGCTGAAATGGACCTTGTCATTCGGGCTCCAAGCTGGGGCGATGCCTTGGTCTCCTGAACAGTAACGGACCGGGATAATATACCTCAACACAAGTCCCCCAGTTTCTTGAGTAGTGAGCGTGCGAATCTGCTCGAGAAAGTATACTCTTGCCTACGCTCTTCCTCTGCCTTCTTTGCACATGGCCTCGGCTTTCGGAGCAAAGGCTTAATTCAATGCATTCGCTTAGGTGCGAGGGATTGGGGCATTCGGCTCACGGATGCCCGACCCGACTTCCTTTGGACGTTCGACCCTTAGGAACTCGGCCTAGATGTGTCCTTGCTTTTGATGCACGAACCGGTAACAGACCTCGGAGTCGTCATACAGCGACAATCCTCGGCCTATTCCTAGAGACGTTCGACCTCTAGATGCTAGGTTGGGCTTCCTTGGACGTTCGGCCCCCTTGACGGTCAGCCCGCTCGATCTCTCGTTGTTGGGGCTCTGGAATTTTCCTTCAGGATGCTCGGCCCGACATGCTTAGGATGATTAGTCCCTAGAAACCCGACCCAACTTCCTTTGGACGTTCATCCCTAGAAACTCGACCAAGATGTGTCTTTGCTTTTGATGCACGACCCGGTAGCAGACCTCAGAGTCGTTATACAGCGACAATCCTCTGCCTATTCCTAGAGACATTCGACCTCCAGTTGCTAGGTTGGGTCTCCTTGGGACATTTCTACCTCAACATGCTCAGCCTGGGCATGCTCGGTCTCAGGATGTGTTGCGCGCCTCAATGCCCTTGGCCTCCGGGGTGGGGATGCTCGTCCCCAGTCTTTGGCCTCTGGATGATGGATGTTCGTCCCCGGGCTTTGGCCTCCGGGTGATGGATGTTCGTCCCCGGGCGTTGGCCTCCGAGTGATGGATGTTCGTCCCCGGGCTTTGGCCTCCGGGTGATGGATGTTCGTCCCCAGGCTTTGGCCTCCGGGTGATGGATGCTCGTCCCCGGGCCTAGGCCACTGGACGATAGATGATCGTCTTCGGGCCCTCGGCATCCGGGGTGAAAGATGCTCGTCCACGGCCCTTGGCTCTCGATGGTCTTCTTTAGATCCTCGGCCTCCGGGTGGAAGATGCTCGTCCCCGGGCCTAGGCCACTGGACGATAGATGATCGTCTTCGAGCCCTCGGCATCCGGGGTGAAAGATGCTCGTCCACGGCCCTTGGCTCTTGATGGTCTTCTTTAGATCCTCGGCCTCCGGGTGGAAGATGCTCGTCCCCGGGCCTAGGCCACTGAACGATAGATGATCGTCTTCGGGCCCTCGGCATCCGGGGTGAAAGATGCTCGTCCACGGCCCTTGGCTCTTGATGGTCTTCTTTAGATCCTCGGCCTCCGGGTGGAAGATGCTCGTCCCCTGGCCTAGGCCACTGGACGATAGATGATCGTCTTCGGGCCCTCGGCATTCGGGGTGAAAGATGCTCGTCCACGGCCCTTGGCTCTTGATGGTTCTCTTTAGACCCTCGGCCTCCGGGTGGAGGATGCTCGTCCCCAAGACCTTGGCACCAAGGTTCATTTTGAGCATCATCTCTTATCTGACTATGATCTTAATCTGCACAATGAACATAGTAAAGCGGCCAAATGGCCAGACAATATGTATATGTGCACACTTTTTTTTAGGTCGGCTTGGGGCTCTTCTGGGCATGACGGTCGGCCTCGGAGTGCGATGACCTTCGGCCCGGCCCATCACCTAGTTCTTCCGGATATGAGCGTCCACATTGGGGTACGATGACCCTCGACCCGGCTCATCTCCTAATTATTAAATTAAAAACCTGATGGAAGCTCATCCCCGAGCTTCGCTCGGCATTATTTATTTCGGGACATTTTAATCCCTATTAAATAATGGTGATGATAAATAATAGCAATAATCTGATGCGTACTATAATTTAATACGATAGAAAATTGGCGTATGCATTTAGAAGTAGGCTTTGTATACTTAGCTTGAGGTGACTTTGATTCAAAAAGGTGAGTTGAGGTTATTGGGCCTATTTAACTTGATCTGCCCAACATTCTGCCTCGGCTCAACCCACCTTAATATCAATGCCTCCCTTAGTTCTTCATGATGAAAATGTGAAAACAATTTGTGTGATGCGTGATTTCCACCCGAACATCAAGCCGGGCCCCAACTTCAGTCCGAGCGTCTCATTTCTCAATGAGAAACCAAAGCAACAACACCAAGCCGAGTGGCAACTCCAAGCCAGCCGAACGTCTCACAATTTAGGCCGTGCGTGATTATATTTCCTCCCACACTGACGGGCGGCTGTACCGAAATGCCGGCGGTTTCTATTCCCGTGCGGCAACTGTATCGAATGTGGCCCCTCAAATCATTTCACCAATCTTGTCACTTCACCAACCCACGTGGGAAGAGAAAACTGCCTTTGCCATGGAGCTCCTATTCTTTCCCCTTGTTCTTGCTGAAAGTCAACTCCCCAGAATCGTTTTTCTTCGTTTTTGTTGAAACCAGTTTGTCTGGTATCATTTTTTGTTGTTGTTGAAAACCAGTTCTTTGCCTATCATTTTTTGTAGAAAAACACGTTAATCTTTTTGAACTGATTCCCACAGACGGCGCCAGTGTTGAGTTTAATCCAACACGATATAGTAAATATATGTATGAACACTCAGTTTTTTTACGTGGAAACCCGAAAGGGAGAAAACCACGAGACTTTTTAGGCTAATGTCCAAGCCCTCTCTTTCTCATTAGAACTCTCCTCACCATTACATAGTACATTTTGAGCTCCCATTAATGGAGTCTTGCAAGCTATTCTAGAGAGAAGAAATGAGTTGGGGAAGAAGAGAAAAGGGGATCCCTAAACATGTGGGAAAGCCCCATATTTATAGGGGTAAGGGAAAGGGGGAAACCTAACCTAATGGGCCAAGTAAACCCAAAATGGGCCCAAAGGGCCGAAACATGCCTAATAGGCTGAAATGGACCTTGTCATTCGGGCTCCAAGCTGGGGCGATGCCTTGGGCTCCTGAATAGTAACGGACCGGGATAATATACATCAACACAAGTCCCTCCTGAATGGCATCACGAACATAGTGACAATCAACCTCAATATGTTTTGTACGTTCATGAAAAACGGGATTCTGCGCGATATGAAGAGCTGAACGACTGTCGCAAAAGAGAGTCATAGGAGAGGAATGATCAATACCGAAAGAAAGAAGAAGACTACGGAGCCACTTTAATTCGGCAGTAACCGCTGCCATGGACCAATATTCGGCCTCAGCAGAAGAGCGAGAAACAGTAAGTTGCTTCTTAGTCTTCCAAGAAATAGGAGAATCGCCAAGAAAAATCATCCATCCAGTCAAAGAACGACGAGTGAGAGGACAACTTGCCCAATCTGAATCACATCAGGCCGTAAGGTTCATGGCCGAAACAGAAGAAAGAATTATCCTTGGCCAGGAGAACCTTTGAGATAACGAACGACATGTAACGCAGCATGTCAATGTTCCTGCCAAGGAGCCTGCATAAATTGAGATAGAATGTGGACAACATAGGCCAAGTCAGGCCGTGTCAAAGAGAGGTAAATAAGGCGGCCCACAAGACGACGATATGATTCAGGATCTGTCAATAAGTCTCCGGTAGCAAGAGCAAGTGAGTGATTCGGCTCCATAGGACAAGACGAAGGTTTCACCCCAAGCAAACCAGTCTCAGAAATAATATCCAAGGTATATTTCCGTTGACAAAGAAAGATGCCATCCGCGCTACGGGCAACCTCTATGCAGGTCCGGCTCAGGGCATGTGCTGGGTGTGCAATGGCATAGGGCCCATAAATATTGAAGGCCCAAAAAATTTAAAAAGTTAGTAGTAGTATTAGCCTATTAGATAGTCTAAGCCCAAGAAAAATAGAAGCCCTCTGATTTCTACGCACATGTTAAGCTACAAGCACCATCCGTCAACTGCCTTCTCCTCTCATCTCTGCAAGCAAAGAAACAGAGACGGACGACCTCGAGAAATGCCGACCATTGTCAGGGCTTCGACTGCACCTTACGTCGGAGCCTCCAGTCTGCTCCTTCGCCTGAGTCGCTAACCACGCCACAATCCGTCAATCTTTAATTTTTTATTAAAAATTAAAGATTATAGTTTATTAATCTTCTTGATTATTATGTGATATATTGAGATTTCATTGTTGATTGTAATTATTTATTATAATTATTAGGGCCATTACTCCATTACGCCTTCTAATTTTTGATGAAATTTAGAAGCTTAGGTTGTTATTTCTGATTTTCTCTAGGTAATTGACCAGGTAATTAAACTAATTTTTTTTATAATTGACCAGGTAGTCTATTAGTTTAAATTCTCTAACAAATAGGTACTCTGGTATTAGATTAGTGGAGGAATTCTAACAACTTGGCAGTAATTATGTGTCCAAATAATGTCCCTTTTTAATGAAATGTATTTTATTAATGAATACTTTTATTTTTACTATTTTGTTCATAAGTAACATGTATTTTAAAAATAAATTATTAATAATTTATCACTGTAATCATCCTTATTTATGTTCTATTTCTACTTATATTGAAGGAAAGCCCATTTTTTTATTGCACAGGGCCTTTAGATTCTCGGGACCGGTCCTGCCTCTATGCCAAGAAAATATTTCAGAATGCCCAAATCCTTCATATGAAAACAAGAGTGCAAATAATGTTTAAAACGAGCAAGAGCTGACGGGTTATTGCCAGCAATTATTAAATCATCACATGCAAACGAATATGACCCTGCTGATAAATAAACAAGGAATAATTGGATTTAGACTGGCAAAATCCGTACGAGCGCAACCCAGTGGTGAGCTTAGCGAACCAACATCGGGGAGCCTGCCGCAAACCATATAAAGATTTTCACATGCGACATACAAGACCAGGCCGAGAATGATGAAATCCAGGTGGGGTTTTCATGTAAACTTCGTCATCTAAGTCACCATGAAGGAATGCATTATGAACATCCATCTGATGAACCTCTAATAGGTGGGATTATTCTTGTGAATTTTTCCTTATTATTATATTGTACGTAATGTATATGATTTGTTATAACCCAAGTGGTTGACACATTGACGTATTTTAAATCATGAGAAGCTTTCAAGCTTAGGAATTTTTATACAAGTATATCACTAACAGGTATGGCGAATTAAACCCCTATTAAAATTTAGTTTAACAATATCTTTATTAACTGTCTCCTTGGAAAGTGACAAATTTGTGTTAGGTGTGAAATAAGAAAAAACAATATTTGGATCATTATTATGTAGAGGAAAAAGAAATATCAAGAGAACTACATACTTCATCCGTTCTTTAAATCTTGCAACATTGTGATTTTTACTCTACTCGCAGACCTTACTTTGACCACGATTTACTACTCATATATATAATCAAATTATTACGTATAAAATGTTTTTGAATTCTTATTAATGTAAATTTCCAAAATATCACCTTTTTATAATGTTTACTAATACATAATTAAATACTACCTCCGTCCCGGTGGACTTTGCCAAGTGCAAAATATGTGAGAAATAAGAATAGGAAAAACTGCATGTGTGGTTGAGATTTGTGCAAAGGAGATAAAAATGTATGGAAGCACATATTAGTTGCTTTAATAGGAAAGTGGCAAAGTTTTTTGGGACAACCAAAAAGGAAAAGTTGACAAAGTCCAATGGGACGGAGGGAGTATAATTATAGTCAAAAACTCAAAGTTGTGTGTTGACAAACGTGAAAGTCAAATTGTTACAAGAATTAAAGAACAGGGGATAGTATTTACTTTTAAACATAAATTGAGACGGTTTTTTTTTTGGGATTAGAGCTGGAGTTAGGACATTGTCTTCGACTGGACCAATACAAAGAATGTTTTTAGAAAACAAGGATTTTTATACCATAAAAATTAAGCCATTTTTTAAATTTAGATAAGTCGGGACCAATGCCCCCACTCCCTGGATTGTATCGTAGCCCAAGATGGCCAACCCTTTAACTACTCCACCACGTGCTACATGCCAAGGCCAGGTGAACTCGATTGCATAGTATACCAATATGAACTCTAAATGCATTGCCACGTTAAAGTTCGAAAAAAACATCTCCAACGGCAATATGGACTATGGTTGTAGTGATGACTTGGAATGGAAAAAAGGGGACGATGTCTATCCCACCTTCTGGTTTCAGAAATCTCATCCCATTGCCAACTAAGCAATAAATAAATTCTACCAATCGTGAAGGTGTATACTCCTATTTTACTTCCTGAGTTCCTGTGTACTCCACTCCATATACGAAAACAAATTGTAGTAATACTTTGCATATTAATAATGATTAAATTATTATTTTGTTAAGAGAGAGAACCGATGAAACCATTGCAGAAGGAATATATCATTTAAATAGTAGTTAAAGGGCAAATTAACCACTATGGTAGAGATAAAAGTGCAAATAAGACACCAACCTCAGCTCTTTTTAGGTGCAAATAACCTTAAATTGCATATATTATTGGCATTTTAGCCACCACTAACGGTAGCAACACACGGAAGGGTTGACTAAATTGATAGCAACTAAATTGCTTGGTTTATTTGCCTGCAGACTATTACAAACCCATTTTATTGATGGTGGTAACTAAATTAAACATTGATTTTAAAGAAAATAATGTTATATTTATAATATAATTGGAGTATAATTGTAAAAAATTTATTTATCTTATTTAGTTTAGTACCTGCTAGCTTATACCAGCTGGCACTTTGTGTGATAATGAATTGTAACAACCCTGATTTTATTGAATTTTTTTATTTAAATATAGTTACATGGCTTAAAGCTAACCACAACCCTCTTCATTAGTAAATGAATTTTCCCGCCATTTTATACGTATTCATTCGATCAATTTCATTTTTTCTTGTAATCCAACACCGTCTATATATTCATCCAACAATGTATCTCGTCATTTTATACGTATTCACTCGGTCAATTTCATTTTTTCCTTGTAATCCAACACCATCTATATATTCATCCAACAATGTATTTTAATTAAGTCCTTACTTTTATTATTATACATCAATTTTTTTCCAATTACTTTATGAATAATTATGATTTAAAAAGTTTATCATTCCAATGTAAAAATAAATAAATTTGGAGTTTAATTTCTTTGATACTTCTAACCTATTTTTGGAAAAAACTAACTTATAGATGTGAAAGAAATAACTGAATCATGAAATTTTAATTTTAGCACTTGAATATATTTTTTAAAAAATGAATTAAATGCCCTCCAAGAATTGAAACTTCATAAAAAGTTATAAATTTTGATACATATTTTTAAAAATCGGAGTAGAAATAAAAAAGTTTCACTCTGTAATAGTTTTTCAAAAATAGAGGTTTTATTTTATCTTTGGTCCCACATGCAGGTGGTGGCTTTCGGTGACTTCCCTGCTATTTTCTCTTGTCGTACTGATAAATAAAGGGTACAATTTCGCAAATCAAGAGCCCCTGACCTCTATAGCACTTTCTTATACCATGGTACAGGGACGGAGTTAGAGGGGGGACAACTTAGGCAATGATTCACCACAAATTAAAAAATATCTAAATTTTAAAGGTAAAAATTTTCGTGTAATTTTTTTTTTTCAAATTAAAAGTATTCTTTGTATCGGTCCAGTCCAACTCAGTACCCTTGCTCCGCCCCTGCTAAGGTACAATTTTTAACTTGAATTAGAGCATATTTGGGTGGATGTTTCCTGTGTTTTTCACCCGATGGGCTGCCTAAAATGCCATTTCAATAGACACGTTTTGTTATTATCCCAAAAGAAGGACTACGTGATGGCCAAATTGTAGCTGTGGAACTCAATATCAATCGTGATTCTCATGATATTCTCATTTTATAATGCAGTAATGCTTCTGCAAATTTTAGGAAAAAGGAGAACATGTAATAACATAATTAAGAAGCTCCGTTTGTTCCTTCTGTTAGTGGGTGGCAAAGATGCCAATTAAGTGTTCAATGTAATGCTATTTGCACCTAACAAAAGGTTAGTGTCCTAATTGCACTTTTGCTCTTACCATAGTGGTTAATTTGCACATTTTCCCTTTAAATAGTCTATGTGTCCAAATCAGCCCCACGGGCTATTTATATGGATGACGTGTCCATTTTTTTTTAAAGGTGCAATTCACATCCTTATTGGAGATGCTCTAATAGGGGCAATTCGAAAGAAGTTAAGCAGATAAGGCAATTAGGCAAGTGTGGATGAATAGACACAAGAAACGATAATGTTGGAACCCAAAAATCAGAAATAGATCACAATATAGGCAAGGAATGATTGATGAAACAATGAAATTTCCATTCATAATGATTCAAAGGTTTTATACGAAGGAATATTTCTTTACACTCAAAATGTGCTCTGCGGCTTTCTCAAAATGATTTATGTCTATACACACAAACCTAATGGGTAAGTATTTATACCTTGGGTATTTGTGCATCCGTCAATTCATAATCGTGGGCCAAAATTCCCATTTGAGGCCCTTAGACATTTTAGGCTAAATACAATAATTTCACTAGACCTATTCAGTAAATTATTACAAGCTGATAAAACTTAGGGGTGTTTGGATCTGATTCTCAAAACTGATTCTGCTTCTTCATGGAGCAGAAGCAGAAGCTGGAGTGTTTGGGTGAAATTCCAGAAGCACTTCTGGAGCTCTAATTTACTCTCAGAATCAGTTCTTTTAGAAGCTGGGGGGTACCAGCTTCTGAAAACTGATTCTGATTCTGCTTCTGCTTTTAAAAAAGAAGCAGAAGCAGAATCAGTTTCAAACACCCCTTTAATTGATCACAATTTCACAATTAAAATATTTTCTAACAGATACAACAAAAATAAAATTAAGGATAATGTTATTGACTTATTGTAAAGAGACAGATGTTAGAGCAAATTAGCAAGCTTAAAGATTATTAATTACTTTGGTAACTAGCGAACTCTATCTTATTAGCATACAATATTGGAGCAACAACGTAACAACTAACAAGATATCAATCTTAAGAGCCTCTAAGCTTACTTTGTGAACTCTCTCTAGCTCATTCCACTTATCATCAAATAATTTTGAGAAGAATATTTCAAATACTCTAAGCTTGGGAGAAGTGTGAAATGACTATCCCAAATATGTATGTATAAAATAAATATCATAAACTTTACATTATAAGTGATCGATCTTTACATCATGACTCGTACTTCCAGCTTCCCCCATTTTTAGTAGCACACTACTCACATTCTCTATTTTGATTACAATTTATGTATTATGTACAGAGTATTCAATAATTATACTAGCTATTAGAATTGTAGTTATGATACCAATTTGGTTTTGTAATTTAATCATAGGACTTCCTATTACACCAACAAATGAATAGTTTTTTTTGTTTTTATTTTATTTTATTTTATTTTTTACTCCAGGGGTCCGGGGGAGGGGGCTGGGGGGCTGGAGTAATCAGGGCTGAAACTCACTCCATTGAGTTTCAAACCCTTATGTGTCTAGCGGATTTCGAACTCGAGACTTCTTACTAGACACGGTAACCTCACAACCAGCTGCGCCGGAATGTTTGGTTCAAATGAATAGTTCTTTCATTAAAGTTAGTTCGATTGTGGTCTGTGGAGAGTAGCACTAGTCACAGCCACATTCAAGTTTCCTCATTGAGATATACTCCTCTCTGTATTTCTTTTCGTAATTATTTCATGCTAAAAATACATTAAGGAGTCTAATGTTGATTGCCTGATTATGCATTTATGCACCCAAAGAAATTTCCTACACTGTTTACATATGTTCTAGACTGGAGTAAATAGTACTCACTTCGTCCCCTAACTTTGTCTCGTTTTACATTTTACGTCTATCCCATTAAGTTTGTCTCATATCATATTTGGTAATATTTAGGTGGTTACAATTCATACTTACTTTATTCATACTTTATCAATTCAATATTAACCACACAATTCCACTTTTTCTTAAACGTTGTGTACACCCTCTTGTCCCAAACATAGTGGGACGAAGGTAGTAGTAAACACAGTAACACACGAGGCAGCCCGTTCTTGCGGGCTTCTATCAGGATTCAGGATTATATCGGTCTATGAGCTTATAATGATACTATCTTATAAAATTACAGAAAATAGTACTCCGTAAAATGTATAGGTGCAAAAGTCATTGTATCTCTCAACTTCTTTTAACTTATCAACATCGATGCAGCATCATTTGTATGTATGAAGACACCTTTGAGTAAATGAGATTTAATTTGGGAGGAGCCTTGAACTAATAAAATAGAATTCATTGACATATTTGTGCTGAAAGTTCAGTAATAAATAAAAGGTTAATAGAAGAACTAACCTGAAGTAAGATTAATTTACACGCATCGTGTTTAAGCAAGTAAACCATGTATGCACTTATTGGTTGAACAACTACTCTACACATATACTTCATTTGTCCCATAAAAATCTTCTAACTTACCTTTTAGGGATGTCCCAATTTTTTTTATTATTTCCCTTTTTGAAAAATTTTGTATGATTAACATTCATTTACTTTTCTCTTACTAATCACATCAATACATTTCAATTTTCTTAAATTCTGATTCAAGTAAAACCGGGAAAAAATTTGTGGAGCGGAGGTAATATATCACTATATTAGTAACCTACCTTATACGAAGAGGGTATCACAAATGAGGGGTCCGAAATTCAACTCAAAGCAATTACTTAAAAAGTTAGAATTAAACCCCACTCTTTTTTCATCAGAACTCAATTGATATCTTCCCAAATAATTACGGATCAGGTCTGAGGGGTCTTCTAGGATGAGCCGATGAGGTGCCATCCTTTTTTAATAACCCACCTTGTAAATGTATATAGTAGGCCTGGACTCGGCCCGGGTGGCCCGACCCGGAACCAGCCCGAACCGGCATTGTTCCAGCCCGGCCCGGTGGCCCGGTCAGTGACCGGTCCGGGTAGGCCCGACCCGCGTGGGTTCCGGTCCTGGCTCGGGTCCCCCAAATCATGAACCGGCCCGGCCAATTCGGGCCCGGTTCCGGGCCTTTTAAATTTTTTTTTTCAATTTTTTTTACTTTTCGGGTTGGGCTGGGTATTTTGGGCCATTTGGGGTGGTTTGGGGGTGGGGGTTAGGGGTTAACTAGGAAAAGGAAAAAAATAACAAAGCCCAAGGCCCGGCCCAGAACCGGGGATTACCCGGGCCTATTCCGGGCCCCCATTCCAGAACCGCCGGCCCGACCGGGCCCGAACCGGCCCGAGTCCAGCCCTAGTATATAGTGATTATAACGAACTAATGTAAATAAATCAAGCGAAACTTTTACCGTTTTACGGAGTACAATATACTGTTACTTAGCGAGAATGGAGCATAGGAAAATCTGAATTCAATGATCAATCCACTGAACCAATGGAGTAATTGTGAAAAAGAATTACGTAGTACCTCAGTGTGTTAACTTTACTTTCGGACAACCTTGGTAGTTCGCACAATCCACCTTATTTGCATTATTATTATTATTATTATAATCCTATGTTGGTAAATGACACGTCATAGAACTTCCTCTGTCCCATTGTGTTTGTGACCAAAAAAATGTGACACGTCAATCAATGAGGAAGTTGTCTGATCCTCGTATCCAATTTAAAAAATACTAGTATTAACTATACAAATGTTACTAAAGATAAGCATGTTGGAACTTAACATAAGAACATCTATTAGGGAAATATGATAGTTTATGCTGGTTCAAGACTTCAAGGATGTGAATCAGGTAAAAACATCACAGGATAATTAGGGGTTTTCTTTATCCCAAGCAAATCTCACAAAAAACGAAGATTTTTTATTTGCAAAAAAAACACAACAGGAATAATCTTATCACAAACAAGAAAATATGCATATTAAGGACTCAAGAGTGAAATACAGCTTTCTTCTCTTCAAAAGTTGAGTGGTTCACGAAGGAATCTCTCCATCTGGCGGGCCCGAGTCTTTATCGACATATCAAAGACTTTCTGCCCAAATTCCAGTACAAGGCCACCAAGGATGCTTGGATCAATCTGCCATTGCAATATTGCAACATATTTCTATTAGAACTAAAAAATCAACTCTGTCTTTACAACAAAAAAATAGTGCAAGCATACCTTCTGTTCAATTTGGACAGACTTCCCATGCCCAACCATCTCCTGCAGTGTGGCCTTCAATTCTTTCTCCTCTTCTGGAGGAAGGGGCTGACAGATAAACATGACAGATATAAGGTGTATATGATTTGTGTATATACAACAGCCGGAAAAAAAATTAATTTGGACTCTCGTCCTAATGCAACAGATTTAGCCCCACTTTCAATTTTACCACATTTCTGCGTCAACCTAGTGATCTTTCCACGTTTGGTCTTTTTTAACTAATTGAATGTTCTCTGCTAAGAGAAAAAGTTAAAATGGAAACTCGTCTACCACAATAAAATAAATGACAGTCTCCATTTTGGCCCTAATTCTCGACAGAGAACAGTCAGATCTCTTCGCCGAGGATTAAATCTAGAAAGAACAGGAAATTTGTCATATAGAAAGTTAAAAAATATGTTTGGGATTGACAGAATAGTTGAGGGCTATATATCAAACTATTTCCTGTATTGAAAATAGCGAGATGAATATTCAAAACACAAGGAGATAAAACTCACAATTACAGAAGTCACAATGGCTTTAATTTCTCCCCTGTGTGCCATGGTTAACTCTTTGAATCGTTTCACGATGCGGTCAAGCTCTTTCAGCCTCCCGTTTTCAGACAAAACAACTGCACACATGAAATAAGATCATTACTAGCCTGGTAGCCATTTTCTGGTTAAATAGAAAAAAGAGTCGCCCAGTGCACATTGGCATCCTTGCAAGGCGAGGGTCCGGGGAAGGGTCCCACCAATAGGTGTATACGCAATAAGCCTTCCCTTGTCATTTTTGACAAGAGGCTGCTCCAAAGACTTGAACCCATGACCCCTTGGTCACAATAACCATAGCGGTTGTCTGGTTAAAAGGTTCAAAAAAGTTGATAAGCACAACATCCACAGAGTAATTGCAAGTAGCCAGCAGTAAAAATATAACACAAGGTGCACACGCATAACTAGTCAGAAAACAAAACAGCATTCTAATAAAGGCTTACACAAGAAGTTCCTTGTGACATCTCCAAATTTAGCCAGAGCACAAATTTCCTTAATGGCAGTCACTCTAGTTTCAGAAGGCACAGACGGATCCTTCATGAACTGAGAAAATGTAGGACTTTTCTTCGCAGCCGCAGAAAGGTCAGAGAGTTCTGACTCAACTTTGTCTAGCGTGTTTGACTTCACTGCTGCAAGGTACAAAGCAGAGGCATAGTTTCCAGAAACCCCATACATTGTCAAGGGCACCTGAAACCCAGTAGAGAGTGTTATGTGCTAAAGTAACTCAGTGCTATATACTTGTATCAAAGAGATTATTTGAAGTAAATGATCACTGGTTTCACAGCATACCTTAACTTTTTGTTCTTTCGAAGCAGGGGCGGTTGCATAATTTCTCAATAGCTGCAAGCAAGACAGGTAATATTTTATTAACATGGGTGAAGCTAGGGGGGCCATGGCAAACCCCAGCCCACCCCAAATTTAAAAAATTGTTTGAATATCAGTGTAACAAAATATGTTTAAAAAATTCCAAATAAATCTTTGTATCAGCCAAGCCCAATTTGCACCCCTGGCTACGCCATTGTTTATTAACCAATTAAGTTACGCCTAGAAGGCTATTAGCCAACTGCCTATGAGAAATCAACAAAAGTTAAATACAAATATACAATGAACAATGTTCACATTGTTATAATTTTATTAGCAATTTGTCATTTTATTCCAACCATAAATAGCTTGATAAATTACAATCCAAAAAAGTTACAAAATTAAGCTGCATCAATTCATCAATTATGATTCATGACAAACAAAACAACCAAAATCCAATAGGGTTGGCTCTCTGCTAGTCTAATTTGCAAACAACATGATATCACGGGGCGTTTCTTAGAGGCATGACTGGGTATTAAAAGGGCTCCTTTCATTTAATCCATATTACCTCACTGCATAAGATTCTAATGTGTTTAACCCTGAGCACTATTTTCATTAAGTAATCTTTTCTTTGATCCTGGTTTGATTGAATTCTGTCAAATGTAAAGAGATAGAAAAGAGTGTCTTCGTGAACGGCAACTAAGCGCTTTCTCAAGCTAATAAATGGTATTAGATAGATTCATTCCAACAGATTTCTGCTATGTAAGCAATGCTAAGGAAAACAACAAAGAAACAAAAATTTGAAAAGGCAAATCTAAATCTTAGCAGAAAAATCTATACCCAAGCCCGGGGTACTCAAACAAGGCACGTAACACACTACAAACAGAAAACTTAACAATATCATATTGAATGAAAATCTGATATCAGTTCCATTGATCAATCACCGTTTACCTCGTGATTGGAAAGAGTAGGGCAGACAAAGGATCGACGAAGGTTAGATCTTTCGGCCGAAGTGAGGGTTTTGTGGAGGAATGACAAGCCCGTTGATCCAGCACGTCCTGCGATTGCAGCCATTTCAGAAAGCAACGCTTTCTCCTAAACTGAACCGTGCGCTGAAGAGAGGAGAATCTGCAGGCTAAAAAACAAGGGTTTGACAACTAAACCGGAAAAAAGTTCGAAGAGTTTAGCCTATAGAAAGACCGCTACTGTAGCACTCACTCCGTTAGGCCTCCTCAACTACGGTCTACGGAATATTAACCCCTACGGTTTATTTGTATTTTTAAAATTATTCAAGTCTAGTCTGGGACATATTACAGTCCAAGTAAAAGCATCCTAAAAATATCATTACCGAACTCAAAAATTAAGACTCACGACAATCTCTGAAACCGGTAATTCGGCGCAAACTGTTCAAAATTGTTGTCCTTAATATAAAATCAATACCGTATATCAGTATAAGTTAATCATTTGTATGTTAAGTGCAACATTAAGATAAATTATGTTGTTTGAATTCGATAAGTTGATGATTTTGAAGACTATTATTTGTACTACATGTTCCATGATGTAAAATACACTCAAGTTTGGTGTGAGTTAAGAATTGAGAAAATAAAGGAGAAAGGGGTATAACCCATTTTTTTTAAAAAAAACACATAGAAGAAAAGGGAATATGAAAAACTAAAACTATATCCAAGGGAAATATTTGGACTGTGATCTAGTTTCCTCATGTTGTGACGTCTTTTGTTTTGCTGAGATTTTTTGTAAAGTTTGAGCTGCGTGTTTAGGTTATCTGTTGTTAGGCAGTTCTATAGGGTGACGAACTTTGCTTTGGGGCAAATCGATCTGTTGAATGTGGAGTTCTCGATTTCTTCTTGGTTTGATAAAGGAGGGCGTCGGTCGCTTTCAATTGCATGTCCTCGGAAATTGTCTGAGAAGAAGAAATCATCAAAATAGTCAAAGTTGTTTGAGACACCAGCGTAAGCTTGAAGAAGCCTAACAGGTGTATATCTCATAAATTATGCATATTTTACAAAGTTGAAGTGACAAATAAGTATCCAAACTAGTTGTGCTAGGTGTACATATTTTTGTGTACACCTTTTGTACACTCGTCTGTCTCACACACAAAAAATTGTCTGTTCACAGACAATTTTACAGAGTTGTCTGTGGACAGACAATATTTTGTGTGTGAGACAAACGAATGTACAAATTGTGTACACAAAAATACGTACACAAAGCATTTTTCATCCACTTTTTTTTTAAATAAAAAGTGTTGCAACATCTAGTCATGTATAATAATGAAAGACTGGTTAAAGTGTTGCAACATCCATGTATAATAATGAAAGACTGGTTAAAATAACAGAAAAGAAAATTTTAAAATAAGGTTATTTATGTAATTAGATAAGATCACACCTTTTTAACAAGTAATTAAGAACTTGCATAGAAGAACTGAAGAAGAGTAGAGCAATGAGTAAAAGACGGGAGGGAGTAATACCATTTTTAAAAACTACCTTTATCTTTTAAAAAAAGTTCAAAATGTTATTCATGTGGTAGTGTGGTGACTGATGGTCCGTCCTTATAGTAATATTATCAGCAGGTTTTTGCGTTGGTGGTGGGAGGAGGAAATGAATGACAAGAAAGCAATAATATGAACTGAGAGGCAACCAAAGTAAAAGAAGAGAGACTTTCACCTTTTCACCCCATTTTCTAAGTGATGTTTGACCTTTTACCCTATTTTTAAAATCACACTCACTTCACTATAAAATCATTTGACTTTGCATCTCACTAATATTTGCTAATAGGTAGGAATGGACCGGTTCCGGGCCAACCGGCCCGGACCGGTACTGTTTGTACCCGGCCCGGCCCGATCTGGGAAACCGGTTCCGGTTCCGGGCCTAGGCCCAAACCGAGGGGGTAACCGGTTCTGGTTCCTAAAAGGTGAATCGGCCCGACCGGTCCGGGCCTTTTTTTTTTCTTTTTTTAGGTTTGGACTGGGTTTAGGTGGGCTGGGTGTTTCCGAGGGGTTTGGGGGATGGGGGTGGGGTTGAAATAAATAAGAAAACACAAAAAAAAAAAAATGAACCGGCCGGTAGACTCCAGGCCTTACCTAAAACCTGTCAAGCCCGGCCGGGCCCAGGCCCGAACCGGAACCGGACCAGGTCCGGTCCATCCCTACTAATGGGGTGCAAATATTAATGATTTTGAAATTGGAGTGCAAAATCTAATATTGCTCAAAACATGGGATGCAAAGTCAAATTCCCCTAAAGAAGAGATTACTACTCCAAAAGTGCTACTGCTCGTTATACACTTGTACGCTTGTATACTTTTTATCTATTTCATTGGTTGACCAAAAGTGAAAACTTCTCAACTGTTGGCCTGTTGGGGACCAAAACTGGCCAATTTTAGATCGAGGACCAAGAGTAGAACAGTCTCTTTTGATTCTTTTGAAACTCAGTAGAATCATTCGATGGCACATTCAACAACTGATATTAAGGTTATCCGAGTTCAAATTCCCATACATGAACAATATCTTGAGTTCAGACCTTATAAATGGAATATTAATAAGGTTAAGGTAACTCATTAGATGAGGTGAACATTCAAAAGAAGAGAAAGTACTTCTTCTGCTCCTGAAACCAGTCAGTTAGTACCTAATCTTCCAAAGCGTAGAGGAGTGTATGTCATCAGTGGCATACTTGAGAGCTGGAGACAAAGATTCTGGGTATCTAACTGCCATCAGCTTAGACTTTAGTAAGGGTAGTAATTCTCTATAACGTGATTGCTTCCTCATCAGTACTCTAATATAAGCAATTAACCCAAGCCATTCGATTTCTCCCATCTCCACTTCAATAATAGGCGGAATTTCAGAAGTAAACTTCTTAATGTGCTTTATGCGCTTCTTCATATGCCTAAAAGATGACAAAGCCAACAACTTTAACCAAAGTGGGGGAGGGGACAATTTAAGCATATATAATTTGTTCATCACTAGCATGAAATATATAGGGCAAGTTTGGTAAGTATCTATAGGCTAAAATGACTGAGTTTGCTAGTTTTCTTAAAATAAAAGCGTTTGGTTAATACCTCAGTACTGCAAATTCTTAAAGTAAAAGTATTTCAATAAAATAAACAAGTCAAAAGTTACTTCTTATCTTGCTCATTCTGCAGATAGGAAAATAATAAGCCAGATAAGGCTACCAAACAGAGTCACAGAGCCATTTAATCACGTAGATTAATCATGTGAGTCTTGTGTAATTGAGAGTTGTGCAGAGGAGGGAGAAATAATATGTGTCACAAATTATTTCCCATAAAAGGAAAATGAAGTTTGTTTTGGGACAAATGGGAGAAATATTATTGCCACTCAAACTTCCCTCGTTCTTGTTTAGTAACATTACCACAAGTGTTGAGCCATAGAAAAAGATGCATACCTCAAAGAGGTTTCCAGAACATCAAAATATGACTTGGTGCTTAGCCTTGCTATTCTAGCAAGATCAGAGATGTAGCAGTGGAACTTCATGGCACAAAGCAGAAAAGCTTGGTATATATTAAGTCTGACCACAGCCGCCGAGTTTATGTTTGAGTCAAAAAATATGGGATGGCACTTGGGGCGCAGATAGCGACACAACTTTGATTTCAACTCACGAACCGGTCTACCTTTCCAGATGACAGTTTGTGTTGAGCTCAAATGCGTACTCAAATACCTTATTGGAAAAAAAATCATTTCCCAATATGTTTTGCAGTGAAAACATCCTTCGTCTAAGCAGTGTGCGTTTGCCAGTAACAAATAACGCCAAGCTACTCTTATACTCCAAAAAAATACCACCTCGAATTCTAAATTTTGTCCTCCAAAAAAGATCCCTATTTGAACAAAAGAAGCTAATTTTTCTAATATTAATATTTCTTAATGTTTCACAGAAGCTAAATATGCTGAAATTTGTTAAACCAGTTGATCATCATCATCATTACCCTAGTGCCGCAAAAGTCATTTTGCTTTATTCCATCATATTCCCAAGACAAAAAATAGCGAGTGTTTGGCTTCATTGCAAATGATGGAAAATTAAGAGCCCGTTTGGCAACCCAGTTTTTTGGCTTATCAGGCTTATCAGACAGCTTTTTCACCAAACACGCAACATTTGCTTTCGCGCGCTGAATTGTGTAATAAGCAGAAAAAGTAAGGTTGGAGTTACTTTTCTGGCTGTATTGGCTGAATTGTGTAATGACTATTTTAGCTATTTTTACATATAATTTTTTCTTTATTTTATTAATAAAATATATTTATAAAATATTTTTTTCTTAAATCAACAGAATCAGCCAATGCAGCCACTTCAGCCAGAACTTCATAAATTTCAGCAGAATCAGCTAAAACAGCCGATTTTCGTGCTACCAAACGGGCTCTAAAGGAAGTGATAAGTTTGGAAATATAGCCAGAAATCTAGAATGGATTAGTGGGGTTTTTCCTAAAATATGACTACATTTAAGGTTATTTCCAAAAAAAAAGGTGACTACGTGTGTACATATGGACACAAATGTGACAAACAAGGTAATAAATTTGGAATAACACAGAGCCCGTATGGTGAGCCCGTTTTTCAGTTTATCAAGCTCATCAGCCAACTTTTTCACCAAACACAAAACTTTTGATTTCACACGCTGAATTGTGGAATAATATGAAAATGTAAGGTTGGAGTTACTTTTATGACTGTATTGGCTGAAGTTATTGTAGAAGACCATTTTAGGTATCTTTTCATATAATTTTTTCTTTATTTATAAATAAAATATATTTTAAATATAGTTTTTACATAAATTAGCAGAATCAGTCAATTCAGCCACTTCAACCAGATCTTCATAAGTTTCGCAATCAACCGATTCAGCCAATTTTGGTATTACCAAACGGACTCATAATGTCACTGCCTTATTTTTATGTAAGTAACAGATGTCATCGTCGCCGCAGCAGATGTCAATGCCGCCATTAAACAAGTCACTGTGACCCTTGGATATTTTGGCAAAAATTTGAAAAAAATGAAAATAAAATTTGTTTAAATTTTCCGGCAACTTTTTCAGCGGCCGGCGGTGTCCGCAGGCAGTTGATGTGGAGGAGGCAGGGGAAGGGCAGGGTAGTTGGGTAAGAATTAGAACTAAAAGAAAAATATATTATAAATTAAACAAAGATTAGTCACATTCTGAAACTATTCATATTTTTGTCTTCTAAAAGTGTAGAGGTAATATTTTTGGCATTTAGCCTTGATTATTTCCAATACTTATACCTTTGGAAAAATTAAAGAGTTGTTCCTTGGTGAAATTGATACTCTTTTTTAGGCAAAGGTAGTAATAGATTTCATACGCACAATTATGATTAGAGCATGAAACTGACCTTGTATAATCTGCTTGAATTTCTAGAGTGCAACAGTTAACAAATAACCCACTCCATCTAAGAAATGAGATTCCATCATCTCCAGCATATAGTCTATTGGATCGCAAGCCTAAGAGATGATTCATATCAAAGTTCAACCCAAATTTTTCTTCATTCATGTAGCAGTTGAACTCATGAAACCCTCTACGCAATCGGCAGAAAAAACTAGAAGCTTGGAGCCTAGAGGTTGATATAAATAGAAAGTCATCTATTAACCTAAGGAGAAGATACTTCGGCATATGTTCTACAAGTTCATCTTCACATCCATTGCCAGACTTACAAACTTTCTCAAGAAAAGGAAAAATCAGATTATTTTCAAGGTATCCATAGTAGAATGAGCATAGCAGAGAAGATATAACACTTCCTTGGGGAATGCCGAGGCATTGCAAGTAGAATTTGGTATCCATGAGAAGCACATTGCGTTTTATGTGCTCATTCAAGTAAAAGGTAAGCTCACCCTTCTTTACATTTCTGCCTCTCTCCTGTAGCATGTAATATAGTACAATATCAATATACGCTGCAACTTAAGACCATAAATTTCAAACTGTATACATCAGTTAATCAACTTTCCATGCTTCAGCTTTATTAGAACAATGAAAATATGAATTTAAATGACCAGTGACGTGATTTCCCTAACTTGAACCATTAATACACCCACATGTTACTGTATATAAAACCTGAAGTAAAAAATATTTGATACATTACATTGTGGCGTTCAAAGAAAATGATAATAAAAACATCCAGTCATGCTTTTTGACTTATTTTAAAAAACAATACTCCGTTTTTTCTCCCTTTTTGTGTGTTGGGGGGGCCTCCTGCTGTGCTAAATATTATTTATTCTGGCCACTAAATGACATATCAAACGATATAAGACTTTTGCTGACAGAAACTTAGAAAAACTTACTCTCCCAGTCTCCTTGAAAGTTTAAACCAACTATATGGTTCATATATTATATTTTGGGGAATATAGAAGAACAAAAAAGGAACTAGAGTTAGGATGAAAGATGGATAAAAGACACCATCTTTTGTAAAATAATAGAGTTAGTAGTGGAATAAGTAAAAGGCCTATACTTTTTACTCTTCTGATTTGGTGGTCCAAAGTTATGATGATACCTGTTTCACAAAAACGTGATGCAATGGACGAAAAGCATTGGAGGGTATAATATTATCATGTGCAAGTGTCAGATTCTGATTGACCCACAAAGATCTCTTTGTGCAGACAACTTGGAAACTTTTTTCTAAGGCATATTCTTCGTCTGATACAATACTCTCCATCACGGTCAACAACTTATCCTGGTTTATGGTGTCAAAAGCTTTGGCTACATCTGATACAATGATGTATGCATCAGGTATTGTTGCCGAACCATTCTTAATATTCATCAGGAAAGGAACAAGCTTATTGTAGACATCATTATAATTAAACACTGATGACCCCAGTTTCACTGGTTCTTTTACTTGTACTCCTTTTAGCACTGCATGCAAATCACGAAGAGCACAATTCACTGACCTAAAATATTCATATTTGACCTTTCCCATAGGATATGCCTTTTTCAGATCACTGAATTGGGAAGCCAGCTTCACGCGAATTCTTGATGGTGCTTTCAGATTTTCCAATATCCTTAACCCATTTTTCTTTGGACGAAACCGAGCCCTAGAAAAACCAAATGCTCTGTTCCTCAAGATTTTCGAAACAGAAGGAACATCCAATTCAAGAAACTGCTGATCATTTAAGCTAGCCCTACCTTCAGCCTTTACCTGATTCCAAATAGACTTCCGATAATAGAGGACCTCTTGATTCTCGTGTTCAGTTTCAGTTACATAAAAGTTGGCTTGCACCAGTGGCACTACAAGATATGAAAAGAACCAAAATATCCAGCAATGTAGGACTTTATGTTTCACAACATCTAAGGCCCCAATTCCACCACAATCTTTGAACATACCTGAAAGCAGAGGAAACCTAGATATTTTCACTTTATGCAGACACTGATTAAAAGAGAATTTCTCATATCTGCGCATCTGAATGAGCCTGGAGATATTCTTTGTCAGAATTCGCCAATTCGAAGGAATTCCTAATAAATCCGGGGGCACAATATTCCGACAAACTGCCCAAATAAATGATACAACTTGTTTCTTCAGAGAATAACATACACTTGGTCTTATCTTAGAATGCTGTGCTTCGGATCTTTCACGAGTTTCTGAGCTAAAACTATCTCCCATTAATTCATCACTATGCTTCGGATCTTTTGCACCTGGATTCACCGTAGATTGATTTCCCTGAATTCAGTAATCAGAATTTTTTTCACAGATAACTGTTAGCAGTTTTCCACAATAAACAGTGGTTGATAATTAAATAAAGCAGTAGTGGGGTACAAATATACAAGATACATACTCCAATTACTCAAAAATGACAGTCAAAGCATGCAGACACAGAAGAACAACTCTGATTGTCTAGTAGAACAAGGAAGAAAACACATTTTGTAAGGGATTTTTTAGGGGTGCTGGGTTATTTAAATTTCATGTGGACGTACTTAGAAATTTACATTAATATATTTAGGAGAACTAAGTCCAAGGATTTGTAAAATTTTCCGAAATTATCTGAAGTCGACATCATTTAATACCAATATTGGCTACCTTTTTATTCCAAGTGTATGATGCTAATGGGATAACCTCACGCCTTCAAACACAGCATATACAAGAGCACTAATCACTCATTTTGAATTAGATTAAACAAAGACACTTTAAAATAACATAACTAACCTGATAATCCTCAAATGAAACTCTTTCCAAAACCTCATCCAAGGATGGAATAGGACAGTGCTTCTCCAATAACCGTAAGTGCCGACAGCACTGAGACTTACGTATGAGAACTTCAAGCATCCGAATAAGTGAGTGATATCTAGAGGAGCAATAGCAATTGTGTTAAAAATAAAATTCAAAGACTAAGACTTGAAAGAGACCCAGATGATCGCATTTGATAAAAAATGACACAGTTTTACACTTTTACCCATATAATGCATGGTATATTGGTATGTCATATTAAATAATTAATCCAGATGAACCATGGCCTGGTTTTAGGTAAGGGCAATAATCATTAGTTCTACTGTTTTTTCAGATTTTGTTATATAACTATGCTCCCAAGCAGAATAGCAATAAAAAGGTTCTTATATGTTGTGTGTGTCTGTGTTTGTCCTTTGTTTAAGAAAGACCAATTCTATTTCTTCTCCACCAACTGTTGTTTCTGTATACAATACATGCCTTCAAATCTTGCTTATACTACCACAAGAACAACTAGACTTTTAGGCTTTTAGCACATGGTTATTGTTAAGTACTGGTGTGCATGTTTGTCCTTTGATACCTACCCATGTCTGTGAAACCGTGATATTTCTAACACTATAGTTGTACTCTTGAGTATAAAGTGTGATTCTCGATGTAATGGAGGGTAGCAATATATACTATATTAGATTACATTTCTATATTCTTCTTGCTACTCAGAATATTGTCCGCTATATAGCCGCACAGTTAGCCCCCAATCTTGACCCATACTGTCTTGCAATTTGAAGCATCTATAGTTCACGTAATGATCTTAGCATCACCAACACAGTCAACGAAAGTTTCTCAAAGAAAAATGAATAAGACTTGCATATGGTGCATTACAAAGATTGGAAATGCCTAACAAACTACTCTACAATTCTGTCAGAGCCATAAACACTAAAAGTGAATAAAATAAAGTGAAATGATAGGAAGAACATAGAGTAAGCATAGCTCACAAGCATGTTGCTCTGGTACAACAGCACTTGGTGGTATGTACACATGGAGAAATTTGTCCATTGATCGTAACACCACAAGATCCAAAAATTTCGTTGAAGAGATTGTTTGCACCAGAAGAGTTGTGCTTCAAGGAATTCAGTATATCTGACCATTTTTTAAGTGGTAAACACATTCTACAGATACAGGGGGGTAACTTTTACAATTTCATGCGGTCATGCCTAAAAGAGTTGGTGCACAAGGGAGTTGTCATGTGACAGAGATGTTTGAGAATAATAATTACTCCCTCCGTCCCTGAATTATCTTCCAAATAGGGTTTTGCACGTGGATAAGAAAGTGAGAATTGTGTCGTGGAGAGTTGGGTTGAGGAGAGAGAAATGTGTAGAAATGTTGTGAACCACAAATTCTTTGCCAAAAAAGGAAAGAGGAAATTATTTTGGAACAAACGAAAAGGAAAGTTGGAAGATAATTTGGAGACACGAGGAGTAGTAAAGAATTAGAGTAATACTCTCTTCGTCCGAATTTAAAGTTGTACGTAGTATTAAATTTTGGGAAGTCCCTAAATAAAGCAATATCCTCTTTCCTTACTTGGTAAAGAAAACTGTCAGTTTACTCTACTACCCTCAAGTAGCATTAATTGCATTGTGTCAAAACAGTATACTCTAATGTCTCCTTCAGGAATTCGGGGGGCAGCCTGGTGCACATGGGCATTCCTGCAAGGCGAGGGTCCGGGGAAGGGTCCAACCACAAAGGTGTATAATGGGCAAGTCTTTTCTTGTCCTTTTGACAAGAGGCTGCTCCCAAGACTTGAACCTGTGCCCTCTCAGTCACACGACTTGAACCTGTGACCTCTCAGTCACACAGCAACACCGTAACCGGTGGGTCAAGGCTCCCCTTCTCCTTCAGGATTCAAAGAGAAAAAAGTCTTATTTACTCTCTGATGGTCAAACGAGAAACTTCTTTAGGGGACGAAGGTAGTGTGTAGTTCTCCATATATACTTTTAAGTAACAATGGGAATAGAAGGGTACTCAATCAAATTTGAAAGACATGATACGCAAATTATTACAGATGTGCAATACAAAAGGATACGTTTTCTTGGAAAGACAGTTGAACAATTCTCTAACTTGTACAACATGGCGTTTCTACTGATAATTACCTCATCTATGTCTTTCAATGGATTACAAAACACAAGGCAACAAGAGCACCACCCCACTGTCTGTTGATATAAAAGTTGATAAGTTTCACTTAACACCGAATGCTGATACTTAAAGTTAACAGGAAATGAACTGGTAAGACAAGAGCTATTAAAGAAACTGGTAGTAGTTGCACACATGGATGTATTTGGGGGGGGGGGCTTGAAACTTTAAATTTTTCTATTATATATGTAATTTTTTCATAAAGTTTTGATATTTTAATTAGATATATATGTGTTCACCCCCCTTAACTTTTTCCATCATTTGCAATGGAGCCAAAAACTCACTATTTTTTGGCTTGGAATCTGATGTAATAAAGCAAAATGGCCCACTAAACTGTAAACTGTCCGCACTTCTTTGTTATGAAGTAGCAGTCAGTCCATGTAATTTTTCGACACGATTTTCACTATGGGACATTCGGAAACAGCCTCTTTGTGTTTTAGTACATGGGTAAGGCTAAAGTGGGAGCCTTTGCGGCACTGGGGTAATGATGATGAATGATGAATGATAGTATAATACGTAAAAGGAGCTGTAAAAGGAGAAATATCCAAAATAGTTTATCTTGATGAACTATTTTAGTTAATTTTAGTTTTTTTCTTCCTGAACATCAATAATAGAACAACTCATTGATTTAAGACATAGGATACTTATTCTATAAAAAAGAACCATAATTTTGTAATGTTTAGTTTATCTTTAATACATTAAAAGTACTAGATGCTGTAAAATATCAAGCAACATTAAATACCATACACACTAGAACAAATTGCATATGTATACATGAAGACAATTTACCTACTGTTTTTTTTTAAATTCCATATTTAAGGCAAAGCTTACACTAACATGTATTTTATGTGGAAGAGTAGAAGGTGGTTCCTCTATCTCTGTTGAATTTCTGCATGGATTTAAGGAATGTGCTTCGTGAGTTGCCAAAAGTTGACGCTTTCTCCGACGTTGCCAACTATTCGGTCTTTTCCGTTTCCTATTAGATGAAAGACAATGGTTTGAGGAAACTTGGCCAGCAGCAAGTGAATGTGATCCTTTACTAATGCAGCTGTCTCCACCAGACGTCAAAGTCTCTTTAGGTGACTCCTCTTTGGTGATCCTTAGCCTGACAGTCGGTGGATAAGATCAGCCTTTAAAATGAAGGAAAGGCTAGCCTGAGGTAAAATCAAGAACAAACAAACCTAGAACATAGATGCTTCATTGACATTGACCACATTTCATCAGTGGTTTTTCTCTTTCCACTACCGGCACTGCCTACTAGAAGTAGATGATTAGTATATTCAGAAAGCTAAACTGGGAGTGTTACAAAATTCTAAAAATAGCACTAACTTACACAATCCTCTGTAATTAAGTGAGAGAGAGAAACTCAAGCATGTGTTATCTATAAGAAACTACAAAATCAAATTTATAATTGTATACCACAGAGATGGGGATGAATGAAGGGAAAATTAGATGGAGGAGAAATCCAAAAAATGCACTTACCTAGGAAAATTAAACTGCATACATACTTCCAAAAAAGTGGTTAAATCAACAGGGGATATTAACTTGTCTTTAAGATGTCTCCTTCCAGCAGTTGTTTTGGGCAGTAACTCTAGAAGAACATTGATGTGTTTCCAGTTTCACCAAAACCGCAAATGGACAGTCATTAAACACATTATTCTATTTTCACTATGCATCCCATCAAAATCAGCCAGAATTTTATATAGGCCAGACATGCTGACACATTTGTATTGTGGGTACCATGTTGAATTTGAACCTAAGACTTTTGTTTCTGACTTTTCTCTTGATATCGTATTGAAGCATATTTACCACCTCAACTGAAAACTTAAAATTTAGCGCAGACATGCTATTTATGCTCATCCAGTCATCCTCAATAAAGACATGTGATACTCACAGGCAGTACGCTTGGAAGATGTGAGGCACAGATCACTGATAGGAAATCCTGCAACTTGATGGAGTTTATTTTGAGGAAGGGGCAAAAATATTGAAAAATTCCGCAGAATGTATACCATAAGGACATCCCCAACCTGGTTATGATATATTCAGAATACAGATAAAGTACCAATTGTATATACTGTGTGCATGCCAAGATGGCACCAAGACAAAAATACTCACCCTCTTTAAGAGAAGGCACCATGCTTCGGATGTCAGAAGATCGAGAGCAGAAATAGAACTTGGGCAGCTCGTCTGTCAGATAAAACCAAACCACTTATTAATGTCAGAAAGTAGTCTTAATAGGTACATGTTCTTCAAGTTCTTAAATGAAGGGTGAAGACCAAAACATATTGTGCTCAAACAAAGGGTGAAAGAAATAGTTGTAGTCACCTTATAATAGTCATGGAGAATTAAATTAGATGAGGTGGGATGCTCAGACATCATCATTTCAATTGTTGTTCTAACAATCTGTAAGCATAGGGAGGTGAAAACCTTGATTAGATCTATATAAATAATAAAATAAAAAGGGAAGTATAATTCAACTCAGCAAGACCAAAAGATTGGAACTCCAGCTATGCACAATCCACTAGGGTAAAGCTCAAGCAAAGGTGTCCCAAACTTCAGTATCAGTATCACTTCTTAAAATACTACCTGAATCTTGAAAATGCTGAATACTCGCCTATGAGGTACTATATTTATGATCATCATCATTACCCCCGTGCCGCAGAGGTAGTATATTTATGATGACATATAAAATAACATGGCATAACCATGTCCACCAAAGGGAGTAGTGCATGAATATAAACCTGAAGTTACTAACCAAAGTACCAACCAGTGTACTAGCAGTCTACTAGTCTAGCATCTTGAAGTTAATAACTTTACATCATCAATAACAAAATTTGGGACATACTCACATGGAGTATGTTGTATGTTGTATTTGATATTTTTCAAAATGTTCTTAATTTCTTATAATTCCTTGAAAACTTAAAATCATTATTGATTAATACCCGTAAATTGGCTGATATTTAGAAAAGGATTGAGGAAGTTAGTTTTTAGCATACAACAACAACATTACCTCAGTGTCACAAGGCTCCCACCTACGGTGCGGTAAGTGGATGTCAGATGTGCGCAGCCTTACCCCTGTACTAGCGTAAATGGAGAAAATACAGATGGATGCCGCTTTACTCCACCCTCATATTTTAGATACTAACATACTATTTCTTTCTGTTTCTTTATGTCATCTCAGTTGCATGCCAGCAATTTCATAAATTAAATCTTTTTGGGTAAATTTCAGCTACATTTTACACTCGACTTATGGGCCTTAATCTCTCTAAGTTGTGCCATAGAGTAGAGTAATTCACCAATGACCAAAAGTCATGTTAGGGTTAATGTATAAATAGTACCGTAAGTCCGTAACTACTGGTATCGATACATTTGGTTACCTCAAGTATGGAATGATGCAAATTGGTACTTTAAATACATTTAATTGTTTTACAATTGTACTATTTTGAAATTCCAGTCAAAATAACTTCAATTGATTACCTTGACTTCTATGAATTTGAGAAAAAATTGTGTAATTAGTTGTTTTATCAAGTTGATGAATTCATCGTGGCTGAAGTACGATTCTCATATGTTGAAATTACTAGATTAGCTACATATTTCTGCATATATGTTGTAATTATATTTCTGCAATATTAGCAAGTTGTAATTATATGTTGAATATTTCTGCATGAGACGGGCTCGGGCTAATTAAAATCTGAATTTTCTAACCGTGATATATGAATTAATTAATTTCATATTTCATGAATTAGTTTCAGTCTGAATGCACAATAAGTAAAGCCAATTTAAAGTGGTACCATGAACTGAAACATTTCATTACAGTTAGGGTACTGATTTCCTTCATTTAATAGTTGGAGTACCAAAATGCTTTAATATCATTAGTTATAGGATCATTTATGCTATTATCCCTCATGTTGTTTCTCTAAATATGACCACAACCATAATCTTTCTTTTTTATGACTTTCTCTGGCTAATGATTTTTTTATTAATGAAATTGTTGATAGGAGAGTGTCCATGCAGGACATCAAGGTTAATTTTTAGATGAAATCTAAAAAATCATACACATATATGTCCACAATTTAATGAATTTGAAAAATATTACTAATAGGCCTACATGGCTACATCTTATGTCTAAATCTTTAAGTAATCCCTAGTATCTATGAAACACCAAGAGACACTACCATTTTAAAGCATCCAATTAGTAATTTTAGTAGATTACCAACAGCTTATCAGGGCAAATGTCCACTCGTTCACACGTCATTGTCATGTCAGCGTAAACTCATTGTCACGTCATCCCCACTTCGATGTCACATCATCTACTTTTACTATCTTATTTCTTTTACACATTTCCACCAACCCTCACCCACCGCCATGATCCTGCCCCCGACCTCTGCTGCCCTGCAAGGCCTTTTTTAATATGTAGAGAAATGCTAGAACAATTTTGTTCACCCCCTCAAAAGAGAGTGAACATCATCCCCCCCCCACCCTATTGGGTGGCCACATGATATGGCTTTTAAATTTTGCAATTGTTATAACTTTTTCATTTTTGGTTAAAAATTTTCAAAAAATATATCAATATTTCTAATTTTTATGATCTTTCATATGGTATCAATATTGTATATGTAAAATTAAAAAAAAAAGGCTAAAAATAGATTTATGAAAAAAAGGGTTTTTTTCAATTTTTTATATGCCATATGGATATCATTGGAAAGATCATAAAAAGTTATTAAATCTAATATATTTTTTGTGAAAACTAGATTATATATAAAAAAGTTATAATAATTTTAAGAAAAAATATAGGTGTAATGCCAAATGGCATGCATTGGAGGTAGGGAGTGATGTTCACCCTCCTTGGAGGGAGTGAACAAAATCGGACTTGAGAAATGCCGTAGCCGAGGTCATCGGCCAATTAGTTTTTTGGTAATATCTACAAAAAAGCCCACAACTGTTGGCCATTTGCTTGTTACCTTATGCTTAGAAGAAAAATGCACGCAGCCTAGTTTTTCGATGTTTTTCTTTGAATATTACTGAAAACTAAGTTCATGAACAACATTGCGAGTAACATTACTATAGGTGTAACATCATGGGCAACAGTGTACAATTAAACATAATCATGGTAATTAAAAGTTAATAAGAGGTCACGCTTTTATCCATTATCTTTATTTTAATAATATACATGTCATTATTTCTTTTGAAAAATATCTAAAAACAAATACTCTCAGTCCCATAATTATGTAATTAATACAACAACATCCAATCCTTATTCCCAAAAGATTTTGGGGTTGGCTAACATGAACGATCCCATGATATCAGAGTCATAAGAAAAATCAAAAGATAAGATAAGATAAAATGGATAAGATAAAGATAAATATAAATGTAAGATAAAAGAACATAAGAAAAGTAAAACATAAAAATAACATAAGAACATAGGAAAAATATTACTTCGTATATTACAAGTTATTTAGAAAATTAACTATACAATTCTCACCCTGCATTATTTACATAAAAATCAAAAGAATGGTTTTCCTAAAAAAAATGTTTTCTGGATAGTTATGTATTGACAACTTTCTGGGTGTGAAATAAAATTAAAAAAAAAAGTAAAGAGAATGTGATGATGTTTGTAAGACGAGATATAAGTAAGTTGAACAAGAAATTCATTACTACCTCCCTAACATTCATATCTTCCCTTCATATCTTCCCGTTAAAAGTAGGTGAGATTAAGAATAGTGAAAGAAACATTAATCATTGATGGTACGATGGGAAGAATAAATCCAAAAAAAGTATTTGTGATAGTATATTATTTTCAAAATTATTGAGGGTATGACGGGAAGATTTAGAAATTGGAAGATATGAATGTTAATGTCAAAAAAAGGAAGTGGTAAGATATGAATGTTATTTATAAGAAATAAGAAATGTGGGGTGTTGGTCAGTAGTGACCAGTGGTCATCAGAGGTGGTGGCCGTGGTTGACAGAAGCTGCGGAGTCGGCCAAAATGGGAAGATGATGTGACAATGAGGTAACTTTTTAATGTGGAGTTGGGCCTAATTGAGGATTGGAATGCAGTAGTAGAGCCTTATTAAACAAATAAATCCATTTAAGCGGCAAATTATGTGCATTAGTAAGAGACCTAGTTCTGATATACCTCAAACTGGGACCGCCGGTGTTGAGGCTGAAAGACAGATAACGCAGGCGCATTTTCATCAAGGACGACAAAGCAATGATTCAGGAGCTTTCTGTACTCCGGAGGGTCGGTGGGTGTAAGAATAAAAGCCGTCGAGTTAGCGCCACCGCAACTAAGGCATCCCCGCCCATTGCAGCGGCAATCCGCCGCCGAAGTCTGCAGCGGAGGAATCAAGGATTTGATCGTCTCGAAAAGGGTACGGGCATGGTTGTGGAATAACCTCCAAAGAACATCCGGAACTCTTCTTTTCTTCTTAGCCATTTTCCCGCAATTAACTGTGTTTTACTGTCCTAATTTAAATACAGTTTTCTCCAACTGCTTCCTCTTGAATTCTGCAAGAAATGGATAACGTGAGGTAATAATTTAAAGTTAATGTTAGACACTTGGACGGATAACTATTTTTTAGAAATTATCCTAAATGGACTAAAATTTAACCAAAAAATGCATTAATAAGATTAGGAGCTTTTTTTCTTTTTCTTTTTTTTGGATGAAGGGGCTTATATATTACTCCCTCCGATTCAAAAACAAGTTCAACATTTGACTTCACACATATTAAGAAAAGAAATTTGACTTTACTGTGGAGTGCACTGTTTGGCATTGTTTGGCATTGTTTGGACACTGTTTGGCACTATTTGACACTGTTTGGAACTGTTTTGATGTAGATAATTTGCCAAATAAGGAAAGGTTTGAAAGTGGAACTTAATTTTGGAACTTCCCGAAAAGGAAAGGTGGAACTTGTTTTTGAATCGGAGGGAGTAGAATAGATGCATTCATAAAGGGACTAAAATAACAAAAACATCACCAATAATCATCCGCCCTTGGGTCAGACTCTGAGTTAACCACCCTTGAAAAAGCAATATAACTCGCTGATCCTAAACTGGACATAATTGAGCCAACGATGGTTACTACAGAACTCTCATCACTCAATCCTAATGCAAGAGTCTTACAAATCCAAACAAAACAAAAGCCAAAAACAACAGTCTTAACGTGGAACTTAATAAGAAAAACGACATAAAAATAAACACCAAAGTGAAAAGTCCTCAAACATAGCCTCACGCATGCAACCGGCGGGTCTAAGAGCTCAGACCCGCCCCCTCCCCGTTTTTTGCTATATCTAGTGACATCTCCTTTCCTGATGCGTCCTTCTGTGCTGGATCCTTCCAGACTCTCCTACGTTTCTGATCAACCGAGACCTCCCCTGCACTGCTTCTCCCCTCTTCCTTTGTGCCACTGTTCTCAGTCTCAGATGTAGTCTCCATGCGCCCCTGCCTCATAATTTCTTCATTTTCTTTATAAACCCCCCTCCTTAGTTGACTTGGACCCCCTCCTTATCCACCAACCACTTACTACCTCTAGTGGGGCTAGTCTTTCCCATTCCTCTTGCTCTAAGTTCCACACTTAATGTTTTTTCAAGAGTAATATCTTCCACATATTTTAATGGGCAAAATTTCTCAGAGTGTCCCATTATCCCACAAATAAAACAAAACTTTGGTAACTTCTCATACTTGAAATCTACCCAATGTCTCTCACCTCCTTTTGACAAAGTAGATCCCTTTTTTAAGGGTCTTCTCACATCCATCTTCACCCTAACCCTCAAGTAAGAATTCCATTTTTCCTTAAAATAATTGTCATCAGAGCTAATAAATTCCCCAATATAATTACCCACTTTTCTAGCTGTGCCTACATTCATAAATTTGTACGGAACATTGTGCAATTGCACCCAAAACTCAGCTTCAAACAAATTCAACTTATGAGGGATGTCATTAGGACCAACCACTTTTAGCAATAACAAATTCCTCTCAAACAACCAAAGACCATCCTCCATGACACGATTCATATCAACTACTTCCTCTGTCCCGCTATGATTGTCTCATTTTACTAGTTCGGTCCGTCCCACTAAGATTGTCTCATACCTTATTTGATAAAATTTGTGTGGTTCTAAATCATTCCTACTTTATTCTTACTTTATCAGTTCAATATCTACCACATAAACCCGCTTTTATTAATAACCGTGCCACATTCTCTTGTCCCAAACTTAGGGGGACAGAGGTAGTATATGGTAAAAAGTGAATTAATACCTCTTATCATCAATTTCTTGGACTGACATTCCTCTGCCTGGCCTCCAGATTGAGGCAAATAGGTCCTGCACAGCCTGAACTTGCACCTTCCGATCCGTGAGAATTACGCCCACCACCTGGTATTCCGCCTCTTTTGCAACAGGATCAAGAACCTCTTCCTCCTCATCATCAAAGTTGAGATTGTTGTTATTCTTTTCCAAAGCCATCTTTTTGTATTGTTCCAACACCTCCTCCATAAATTAGAAAAACTTGCAGCCTTCGTCCAAATTGTCAAAACTCCGCTCGACCCCATCTCCGATCAAAGCCAAACCTCCGCCCAGACCCTTCGATCGCCACCAAGTACCAGTCGATCTTACCCCAGCAAAAACCAAAACACCGTCCTCATCCCTGCCTTGCCAATACGGCTAAGAGGCGGAGAGGAATCTGGAAGAAGAAAACTACCCTAGGCGGCCGAACCGAACCCTAGAGAAAGAAACCTAAAACATTGGGTTTTAAAAAACTAGATTAGGAGCTTATTAAGGGGTTTCTCCCTTAATATTACTAAATCAACTAAACTTAATTTTCAAAAATGTGATCACATTTGTGAAGTGACCACTATGGATTAGGGTTTAGAGTGCGGCTCTTCAGCGGCGTAGACAAGTAGCAGCCAACTAGCAAGCAGTGATCAATTGTTTAGTTCGATCTTGGAATAATACAATACATGCATGTGATGCAACATACAAACTATTTGATGATGACATCAATTCTCAGAGGTTCGTGATAGAGATATATTTCAATTGGATTGTTTTTCTCTTCGGGTTGTGTTGATTTTGTCCTATAGCTGTTATTTCTCGGGTACTGCTGCTCTGGGGTGGTTTGTCTCTTTCCATGTGGGGAGTTCTTTTGGTGTTCCGAATAGCTTCGTCTGGTTAAAAGTTTATGTCTACCTTCTTTCGGAGTGCGTAGACATTGGTAGAGCTCCTCCTCTAGAACCACCTCTATGCGGCGCAGATCACTGGCTCGTCTTAATGCTTCGGAAGACGCAACAGGGAATTTATTTTATTGTGATTTTTGCTTTCTTTGGGACTAAGTACTTTGTTATTTTTTATTTGGTTTTTTCATGCATTGTAAGACTTTTGAGTTTGGATTGGGGTGACATGAGGTCTGTGCTTTCCGTCTTTGGCTCAGTTGAGCCCATAAATGGATCAACAAGTTATACTGCTTCTATTGGGGTGGTTAATTCTGAGTCTGGTTCGAGGGTCGGTGGTTGCCTATGGTCTCTTTGTCTTTTTAGCCCTTATCTGAATGATGTGATATTAATTTAAGCCACATTTCCTAAAAAAATGTGGTCACATTTACATTTGGTCAAAAATGTGATTATTATAAGTAATTGTCATAAAATTTATGTCATTATCCAACTTGCATGTCACTTTCGTATGCCACTGCCGAATCTCACTATCGTCGTCATCGCCCGTGTCTCCATCACCGTCAGTCACCACCGCCAACCACAATGACACCTCCACCCGCTCAGTGACACCCCATCGGCACTGTCATACCACCGACACTATCACACCACCTACGATCCCTCCCCATCCTCATGCCCTTGCCACCACAATAAAGTGACAGTCAAATATTCACGTCACTGTTCCATTTTCATGTCACTTTCGGATGTCACTGCCACCATCGCCATGTCACAATCGTCGTTGCTGACGCTGTTCACAACCGCCATCATCGTCGGTCACCGCCGCCGGCCACAATGACACCAGTCACAGTGACACTGATCAAAGTGACACCGACACGACCTGTCAGTGGCCGGCGGTTTTTTAAGAGGAAAAGGGGGAAGGTCGGTCACTCTTTTGTCAAAACATAATCCAGTCATATTTTTGTCTAATAAAAGCTAAGAGGTAATATTTGTGTCGGTGCTTCAAAATTTAGAAGCAACTTTATTTCATAGAGTTAATTCCCTATGTAGGTAAAAATAAAGTGACCCAAGAGCACAAATAGGACTACATGTTTTTGATTCCCCCTAGTAGGACTATTTTATGTGTATTTGGACAAATATACCCTTGAGGCTTTTGTAATGTCTTAATTAATAATAAATTCACAAAAAAATAATAAAAAACTTCAAAAATTATTTAAAAAATTATAAATATTTATAAAATAAAAAACATTAAAAAGAAAATTAAAAATTAATAAAAATGGTAAAAATGAAAAAAAAACGTTGCCGCCTCTGCCACCCCCAGCATCACCACCTCCCATCACCGGTTGGAAATTTGCCAAAATTAGTAGTAATGCCATAACAATCGCAGATATGGCAGATTCAATGATAATTTTGGCATTATGATGAGTAATAATTCCATTTTTGGCATTTTCAAAAAACAATGGCATTTTTATAAATAATGGCAGAATTTGCACCGATCGGAGTTATCCATTTTTTTTTGGTATTTTACTATTTTTTAATTAATTTGTTCAAAAAAAAAATCTGCCAACAATTCGAGTAATGCCATAATAATGGCAGATTCAATGAGATTTTGGCATTATGAAGAGTAATTATGCCATTTTCTTGGCAATTTCGGGGAAGATGGAATTTTTTAATAAAAAGTGGCAGAATTTTTACCGATCAAAGATTGTGGTTCTGGGAGGTGGTAAAAAATGTAGTGATTCTATTTGTGTTTTTTTTTTATTATTTTTTATCTTACTTAGAACAATTTCTATATTTCATAACATTCACTTTAAGGAAAAAAATCATTCCAAAACCTTCTAGGGCTAAGCGCTGCTAGTCTTTCGTCCGGTCTTGGCGATTTTGTCGAGGCGCAGTGGCTCTTTGGAAGCATCGTTAGTGGAGAGAGGTCCGAGTCCTTAAAAGCAAGTGGGGAGAAGGGTTGGATCGTGGAAGAAACACGTAATTTTCGAAGAAACCGAGAGATCGCTTGCTATTGCTGTGAGTCAGATGGAGTCCATAGTCGATAGATATCGAAGGATGAAGGTGACTGAGAAGGAAACAGAGCTGGTCTGCGATGACGCTGAGGAAGAAGAGGAGGCTCGGGAGATGTTTCGTCCGCAGTTCTCGGTGGTTGGAGCCCTAATTACGGACCGGAAAATCAACTTTGCAGGCTTCAAGGAGGCGATGGCATCGGTGTGGAGGCCGGGAAGAGGGGTGGAAATAAAGGAAACCGAGGAGAAATGTATATTTTTAACTTTGATCACCCCGTTGATATGAAACGTGTGATTGATGGAGGTCCTTGACAGTTTGAAAGAAACTTATTAATT